TTTATAGGCGTAATTTATCACATCATTGTATATAAGCACAAGTCTAAAATGAGTAAATTAAAAGGAAATATATATATATTATTAACATTTTAAATACACTTTCTATCTAACCTTTTACCACTACATACTTATAGCTGGTAATTACATAATTTTTTCCCTTAAAGTATAAATCATTGAAACACTGAAGTGTATGTTGTTTTACCGGAAAGTTGTAAGGTTCCATGCCTTTTGTTGATGCGAATATCCAATTCTGTTAAGTACGTATGAGTTTAGTAATTTAAATTTTCTTGTGTTAGCTTCGTGAGTAGGTAAGCATACAAGATATTTCCTGTATTTTCGCCAATACTTTATATCGTCATATTGAAACTGTTTTTGACCTTTTAAAACGTATTTTCTTAATCTTGAGTTTTACAAAAAATTACTTAAGATACCCGTAGTTATACCACGTCTTCTCCAGCTTTGATATGATTATGGTCAACGGCGGTAGCAATTTAAAGGCTTTTGATGTAGTTTTTCTAGGTGCTCTTGCCCACTTTGTTAATATTAGTTATTAGTATTATTGCTATGGGAGCCCCACGTCAATATTTTTTTATTTTGTTTTTTAGTATTTCTTGTTATAGCGGCAAGAGAAATACATCATCTGTGAAAATTTCTACTGTCTCCCTATATAATAAGAATATCACGGTTCATGAGATACAGCCTGGTGACGGACGGCCATACAGACGGACAGACTGACAGACAGACAAACTGACAGACTGCAGAGTCTTAGTCATAGGGTTCCATTTTACCCTTGGGTACGGAACCCTAAATAGACAAAATAAATTTACAGATAAAAAATATTAATTTTTTAAATTAAAAAGTATTAAAAATAATTTTCACAATATACAATATACATCTATCAATCTGATTATGGTCAACGGCGGTAGCAATTTAAAGGCTTTTGATGTAGTTTTTCTAGGTGCTCTTGCCCACGTTGTTAATATTAGTTATTAGTATTATTGTTATGGGAGCCCCACGTCAATATTTTTTTATTTTGTTTTTTAGTATTTCTTGTTATAGCGGCAACAGAAATACATCATCTGTGAAAATTTCTACTGTCTCCCTATATAATAAGAATATCACGGTTCATGAGATACAGCCTGGTGACGGACGGCCATACAGACGGACAGACTGACAGACAGACAAACTGACAGACTGCAGAGTCTTAGTCATAGGGTTCCATTTTACCCTTGGGTACGGAACCCTAAATAGACAAAATAAATTTACAGATAAAAAATATTAATTTTTTAAATTAAAAAGTATTTAAAATAATTTTCACAATATACAATATACATCTATCAATCCACAATACCTGATGGGTATCCATCCAAGGGATATCCAAATTTACTTAGTGGCTGATTAACTGACTCATTTTCTGTCTTGATGGCTTTTGAGTCATAAAATACTACAAATATAATTCTAGACTACAAACATTAAGCCCAAATGATGTTATAATTGAAAGATGTTACGTCCAGTAAAGCTGTCGCGTATCATAAGTGTATATGTATAATAGTAAATTATTTTAACGTTCTGGTACTTACCGAGTGTCACTCACCTTCTTCAGTAAATATGCTTCCGCGCCAATAATTAATAAATTTCGGCGATTTATTTTGGGTAAGACAAACTTTGACTGAATAATTCCTTCGAATGCTCGTTAGCGTGAGAGAAGTGTTGAACTTTTGCAATGGGCCAAGTTTTTCTGAACTTTAGCCGGACTCATTACACTTTCAGATAACTTGCTAACAAACCGTGGATTCTCGCACAATTCGCATCCGCCCAGTGCGAATAACGAGTCAACTTTTAAAAAAGAACTCGTTCGGCGCGAACATCTAATTCAATGAAATAGATTTCCTTGACGTAACTTACTTTCTATCGACTTTCAACTAAACGGAGTGAAAATTATTGGCCTGGATTGAAATCTGCGTTACAGTGCTAGTTTTAATAATTATAAAACATTTTTTCTGTTGGTAGTACCTACAAACATATTTGAATTGTTATTACTCCATTATAGGTAAAAATGTTGTAATATAATTCTATCAGTAATACAGTTCACACAGTATTGTAATCTAATATATAAAATTCTAGTGTCATGGTGTTTGTAATTGAACTCCCCCGAAACGGCTCGACCGATTTCCGTGAAATTTTGTGTGCATATCGGCCAGGGTGGAGAATCGGACATCTATGTCTCATCCCCCTAAATGTTAAGGGTGGTCCACCCCAAACATTTTTTGATACCCTACAAATAATTTATATGGCAAAACAACGTCAGCTAGTAGTAGGTATACAGCGTGTTGTTACAACTGCGACATTAAATGAACACATAGGGGATAACTTTTTAAAATTGTATTAAACATTTACATTCTTTAAACATCAATATTTACCGAGTTATTAAATTTTAGAACACACTTTCGTGTGTAATGTAAAGTTCATTTGTAAAGGTCACAAAGCATATGAATGGGTTGAATGAATTTAAAAGAGATAAAACATACTGTTAGAAGGAGAGATTTATAATGCGACGCTGTGGCAACGAATAAAAAAGTCAAAGTGAATGTATGAATCAGTCACTTGTAGTTGTATAACTAGGATGTAACAAATTTTGTTTCCATTTTTCGCGTTTTATATTTTTTATGATTATTGGCAAGTAGCGTTAGAAGTGTATTTATTTATTGTCGCGGTTGTATAACGGTTCAGTCCGGAAGGTTTTCTTTTTATTTCTCACACAAGGTAGCTCACATTTTTTTGACCAATTTACGAATAAAGTATATTGCGTGATTTACATTTAGTTTCACTTTATTTTAGCCGATATCAAAGAAGGAGGATATTATGACTAACAGGGCGTACTTTTAGTATGCTTTTATGGGAAGGGCTCTATATTCTTGATAAGTGAAAGAAACCGGAAGGAAGTTAGCGTAGAATATTTTTTTTAATTAAACGATATGCCAATTAATTGATCTTGAAATGCTCCATTACAGTCCGTAATTGCTCCACGTTTATTACTATTCATTAAATTTTAATTAATTTAAAAAAAAAATAATTTTCGAAAATTAAATTTTGCTATAAAACAAAATATCCTATATGACTGACAGTCATACGACCCGATTGGCATGGAGAGTAGGTAGTACCTGCCTCTTGCGCCAGACGGTGTGGGTTTGATCTCCACTACTGGAAAAATATTGTGTGATTAACATAGTGCTTTACTAGAGTCTGGGTGTCTATAAATGTATAATATGTATTTATTTACAAAAGAAAAGTATGTTTAAGTATGTTTATCACTTTTCTAGTACCATAGTACAACTGTTGCTTAGTTTGGCACTAGAGATCTTAAAAAATGTATCCGGCAATATTTATATTGCTCGCACATATTAATTTAGTATCATGACTTCGGGGGTATACAGCTGCCAAGTTACTCTTTTTGAAGAACAATTTACTGTTCCTTTAATTGTCATTGTGTTTTAATCAAAAATTAACACTTTGAGTGTTCACAGTCTATTAATTTACTTAGTTAGAATTATCATTTTATTACGATTAGGGTAAAGATCCGTCAAAAATGTAGCGGATACGGATACGGATCTTTTTTTCCGACGGATATCCGCGGATACGGATACCGGATATCCGGAACATCAGTAATTTTCACTAACAGGAATGTTCATAAGTTATAGTTTATATACCTCTTATATATTACAAAAACAGCAACTAATCGAGGCCCATGCACAGTTGCAACAACTAGAGGTTGAAGATGCGTTGCGAACCATTAAAAAGGGGGCCCAGGTTATCTCACTCACCAAACGAAACGCGAAAGAATAATACTTTCTTCTTACGAGTGAAAGTATTACACTTTTGCGTACGAAGACTGATATAGCTATAGTTTGGCCGCACTCCACAACCGATGCAGCGGTGATGGGATCGCGGGAGTTCATTAATAGTGCGTAAGCCACAATAAATTATAGCAGCTATGGTAGCAGACTTGACATTGATAAATCATTTATTACATCATTTATTCATCTAATATATAAAATTCTCGTGTCACGGTGTTTATAACTGAATTCCTCCGAAACGGCTTGACCGATTTTCGTGAAATTTAGTGTGCATATCGGCCAGGGTGGAGAATCAGACAACATCTATTTTTCATTCCCCTAAATGTTGGTGGTCCACCCCAAATATTTTTTTTTACCCTACAAATTCCTTAGAAATAATGTATACGGCAAGTCAACGCTTGCCGGGTCAGCTAGTATTATAATAAAAATGTTATTGATCGTACGTAGTCTGTACATGAAAGATTTTTGAGAAAAACTATTATTAAGGGCCTTTATCATCAGCAGAAGAACCTAAAACAATGATTGTTAAAATTTTTGTCTGTCTGTGCGTTCAGAATTAGCTTCAATCGATTTGGGTGCAACTTTCATTAATGCATTGTAGTAAGCTTCACTTAACATTTAGTGTTAGTTTTATTTAAATCGGTTCAGAAATAAAAAAAAGTTATATAAAATATAAATTTAAAGAACCTCATTGAAGATTTTTTGTGCGATAAAATACTATATAATAGCTACAGTTGAATTGGATGAAACTATAGTTAACTATATATTAGTCTGTAACATGATTATTGCAAGTTCATATAAAGTTGAATAAAATTGGCCAAGTGCGTCAGATTTGCGCACGAAGGGTTCCGTAGGTACTTTTTAAGCACGACATAAAATGTAGTTAGTAGTAAGAGCCGAGGGCGAAAACTACTAGCTAATTTGTAATAAAAATGAAAAAAACCTCTCAACTATAAAAATATTTTAATCATTACAAATTACACGTGAAAGTCCTATTCGAATAAATGTAATAATAGCTGAGAGCGCATGATTAATTGTACACTTAATACTTTCTTCATAAGAGAATGCGGCGCCATATTGGAGAATGTCCCATCGGAGAGTTTTTCGCTTCATGCGAGACGCACGCTCCTTGTAATGCAATCATCAGCCTCGCCAGCCAGTGAACGACGGGGAACTGGAAAGATACACAAGTTAGGACTACAATTATAAATTATATAGACGGTGACTCGTTAATTTGTCCATACAAACACGTGCATATATTTACAGCAACACAGAGATAAATCTCTCATGATTTGTACTAAGGTCTATAGATGTAAGCACGTCGAGGGTAAAAATAATGACAAAATCGACTTTTCGCTTATATCCATGAAAAGTACAAAAAACAAGGACGGAATGCGATTTGGACTGCGGTGGTAGCGAGACGGCAACATCCCTTCTAATACAGTGTTATCCGTAATATTGTCGATATCAATAATTTGTGTACCACGGAATGTCTTGTATGAATATCGAAAGCGATAAACGTTCCTGAAGAATATACTCACGTGTTGAAACTGGGTTGTTGGGGCTGGCTTTGCTGGGCGGACTGCTGCGCCAAATTCCCGAAAGTGAGAGTGTTTTGCGTTGCTAGAGTCTCGAATGTTGAGTTCGACTGCGTGGGCGCTCCGAAACCTGAAAGATTACAATAGTAGATCACATAAAATCAGTTCGTACTCCGTACAAAATGTTTTATGATAAGTAGACAAAAATTTCTCACTTCTGTTGATTTAAATGGTGTAGAACGATGATTTTTTTTTATGAGAAAAGTTTCCAAACGAGCAGACGGGTCACCTGATGTTAAGCGAATACCGCCGCCCATGGACATCTGCTACACCCGAGGGTTGCAGATGCGTTGACAACCTTTTGAAAATTTGGCTCCGGCTACCTAGCTCTACCAGACGAAAAGCGAAAGTATTTGTCATACTTCCACTTTACGCTGGTCTTCTGTGAGGTCGTGGTACTTACCCCGACGGGCCTGCCCATTCGTGAACAGCCGAGGGCTGCTTTGCTCTACCACCATAACATTAATTTTAAATATTAAGATTATCTTTGAAAGTCAATAGAATTCCACAGGAATGAACGTACGTGACAACGTTAGAACAACACAGGGGTAACGTCACACTCGAATTCTGTCAAGTCATGTATGTATTCCTGACTACGGAAACGACTACGGAACATCAGTTTGTTTAAGCACCCATCACTTCCCACTTATCGTGTCAAGGCTTCCAAAGGTTCTTTTTTATATGGAAAGTTGTCAAGCGAGCAGGCGGTTCACCTGATGAATATCACCGCCCATGGACATCTGCTACAACCGGGGGTTGCAGATGCGTTGACAACCATTCTGAAAATTTGGCACCGGCCACCTTACTCACCAGACGAAACGCGAAAGTATAACTTCCACTTTACGCCGGTCTTCTATGAGGTCGTGTTACTTAGCCGGACGGGCCTGCCAATTCGTGCAACAAAAGCTGCTGCGTGGCCCTACCACCGATAAAAACAACGAATATTTCTCGATCGAAGATTCGTGAAACTATTCACCCACCGGTAGTGGGCGAAGCGCCCCCGAACATCTTCACGGGCGAGGAGCCGCCGAAAGCGGAGCCCCCGAAGGCGGGCGCTCCGCCGAAGGACGCGGAGGCCCCAAAGCCACTGCTAGGGCTCTTGTTGAATCCGCCGAACCCACCAAAACCGCCCGTAGGCGATCCGAAGCTGTAAAGTTCTCGACACATTAATAATTTCCTTTAATAAACTTTTTACATGCATTGAAGACTCCGTGGCGCGGTTTCAAAGGTGTCGGCTTCAACGATGGGGGTTGTGGGTTCGATCCCCACATTTCGTATCTGGATGTTTGTCCGCGTGAAATTTGTGTACGTAAAACGTAAACTTAAACGTAACGTAAAACTTACAACACAGGATAATGTTATTAAGTTATTTATCACCAACAAGGTACACATCGAAAGGGAATAAATAAACAAGGTTTACAAAAAAGTGATGAGAGGTACCTTAATTATGAGTAAAACTACTTTTTAACAGACAATTGAAACAGAACCAAAAAATTGTTAAAAATCTAAAGGTGAAATACGAACATTATAATAATATTTAAACTTTAACAACAAACTAAAATACAGTAAAAATAGCAAAACAAAAAGTATATAAATTACAATATCCGTTCTATACACACACACATTATATATATATATAATACCCTGTTACAATATACATTCGTATTTGGTCTTAAATAAAACTTAGAAAAATGCTATAATTATTCGACCGTTTCATTTTCGCTCACCCAGTGGTTTGTCCAAATACCGGTTTCGTGCCGAACACGGCGGAGCCGCCGAATGCTGGGGCTATAAAAGAAGTTACAAGATGGAAGTTACAAGCCGCACTTGGAGATTTAATTTAAGGCTTTACTAAATTTATATTCATACACTAGATGAACACACAAGACTCACAGAAGACCGGCGTGAAGTGCAAGTGTCATTCTTCTGATTTTCGTTTGTTCACTGAGGTAGCGGGGGCCCATCTTGTTAAAAGGTGGCAACGCTTCCGCGGATGTTGTAAATGTCAATGGGCGGCGGTTATCACTTACCATCAGGTGAACTTCATCTTCCAGTTCGTTTGTGATATCACATTTCAAAAAAATCTGTTGTGAGCACATCGGTTACTTTGTCTTATGTAGACACACACACGGAAGCTAATTTTTACGTATAAAGATGTGTGTCACGTCCATTTTTATTAAAGACACTTAATTGATCAGAACGGTCAATTCAAAATGGTTAACCATCCTTTTGGCAAAGCAAATGACATTTAACAGTTGACAGCTGGGTAGTTAGAAGTCTACGATGATACTTGATTCAGAAACCGGGCGTTAGAATAAATTTGCAAACGAAAGAGTTTACTAGACTAGTGAAGTCTTTAATTAAACTCCAAAGCCAAAGGGACAGGTTTAAAAAGGCAATAGAATTTTAATGATGACACAGCATCTCAAACTTTGCGAGAGCTCCGCGCTTGTTGCTGTGAAGTTTGGGAAGCGATAATCATTGATTTAGTGCGATTGAGGTACTCACAAGTTTGCTGCTGGGGAGAGCCAAACACTGGCTTGGCTTCAGTGGCCCCAAAGGCGTTCGGTTGAGGGCTGCCCAAAGGCTGGCCAGTGGAAGGGGCACTGAAACTCCCACCGGATCCGCCGCTGAACAGTGATGCTTGGGTCGTCGCTTGTTGACCTATTAGGCAGATGTACGGTGGAATGAGGTAGAGGTATAACAATAATCTAAATAATTTTAATAAATATTTCGGAAAAATTTTTACCCACGTTCGTATGGTTCATATGGTCAAAGTACAAGCGTTGCTTAGTTTGGGATCTAGTTCCATAGGTAGGTACCAGAAAATTAAACATACTTTTCTATTGTAAATAAATACGTATTATACACATATAAACACCCACTAGTAAAACATATTGCTCATCACACAAGATTTTTCCAGTAGTGGGAATCGAACCCACACCCTCCCCACGCCGATTGGTTAGACGTTGTGGGAAATATTTGCGTGACGTATACCGATCATTGTATAAGATGTGGGGTGTTGATACAATGTTTCGTTTATACTAAAGTAACAGGTTTTTTTAATATGAATAGTTGGTAAGCGAGCAGGCGGTTCACCTGATGTTAAGTGATTACCGCCGCCCGTGGTCATCTACACCTGAAGGGTTGTAGAGGCGTTTGCGAACCATTCAAATGTTGAGTCCATGTTACCTCATCACCAGACGAAAGTAGAGATGTGTAAGTAATGCCAATGATATCACTCGAGTAATATTACTTAGCAATGTCATACTGTATTACACAACATTACACAATACGCGAGTATGGCGAGCATCACTATTTGTGATGCTCTTTAATCCAATACGTAATTGCAATGAAATTAAAATCTTAATATGCTTTAGTCCAGTACGTTATTGTAATGAAATGGCAACATCATCATCACAGTATAGACCTACTGCGTGATAAGGTTAGCGTAATGCTTTTGAGCAATATTACTTCGATGAGTGATGTAATAAACATAACATTACTTTTTGAAGCACTGTTTTGCGCATCTCTAGACGAAAGTATATACCTCCACTTCACGTCGGCCTTCTGTGAGGCCGTGCCACTTCGCCTGAAAAACTTGCCCACTAGTGCAACAGCAGAAGCTGCTGTGTGGCCGTACCTCATCATCATCCTCCTCCTTCCCTTATCCCACCTAGTTGGGTTCAGCATAACGTGTGAATCATGCTGTAAGTTGTTTTCTGACGTCAAACTCCTTGGCGACAAACACGTTGATCCGGAACAGTTGTGTGGGTCACGCAAATACTAGTCCCGTGTGGAATTCGAACCCACGGCCTCCGAAGCTAATAGCTTAGCGATTGCGCTACTGATGGCCGTACCACAAGAGTTATATAAAACTATTAATAATATATGTTTTCACTGTCATTCGCTGGCCGCGCAGCATTCTTTGTTGGTCGTCTGAGAATTGGTTCAATTGGAAAAGATACAACAATAATCTTGTGTTTCGTCTGCTGAGTTTGGCTACCGGAGATCAACCGCTATAAAAGTGGTCGACGAAAATTTTGCCATCTGTCACAAGAATGCACTTGCGTGTACCATTTGGCCTTACCAAAGGTGCTCGAGCCGAACACATTCCCGCCTGAAGCGTTGCCGCCGCCCCAAAAGCTCGTTGGGGAGTTCTGTTTGAAGGTGGAATTGGCCCCGCCGAAAATGGCCGCCGCCGACTGGCCCGACTGTCCGAAAGTGGTCTTGCCTCCGAACACGTTAGCTTTTCCGTCGCCGAACACGGAACCGCCACCGCTGAAAGCAGATTCATAATTATTTATTATTTATATTATCTACGCGCTCGGCTGTCTTCTGTGATAATATTATCATCATTGTCCAACGACTTCAAAAGAGGCAGTTTTCAATTTCGTTGTTTTCTTTTAACGTCTGTTACCTCATTACCCAGTAATTTATAAAGCTTAATTTAAAAATTATTTTGCATTGGGTTCGGCTGAGCTCGTGTGCACTCCTCAAATACAAATTGTGAGTGAGATATTTGAAGTCGGTTTTGTTTTTTGTTAATAACAATATACTTTGTAGTGAAACTACGCCCACCTCGTGCCGAATATGCTGCCGCCGCTGGTGGGCGACGGCGCGCTCGTCGTGGATATCGTCGCGGCCGCGAACAGGTTCGTCTCGGCGGTGCCGAATATCGAGCCGGACTGCGTGGTGGCTGGGGGCGCGCCGAAAACGCTCTGCGTCTGCGTCGGCGCGCCGAACACCGACGCCTGAGTGGACGGCGTCGGCGTGCCGAACATCGAGGTCTGTGTAGACGGTGTCGGCGCGCCGAACACCGACTGCACGGACGCCGGCGCCTGGGTGCCGAACGCCGACTGCGTAGACGGTGTCGGCGTCGGTGTGCCGAACACCGACTGCGTGGACGATGTCGGCGTCGGCGTGCCGAACACCGACTGCGTGGACGATGTCGGCGTCGGCGTGCCGAACACCGACTGCGTGGAAGATATCGGCGTCGGCGTGCCGAACATCGAGGGCTGCGACGGCGCCCCGCCGAACTCCGAGGAGCCGGTCCAGCTGTGCCCCGTCGGCGGCGGCCATAGAGAGCCTGTCGTATTCTTCGCGGCCCCGAACACGCTGTTCGTGGGGTCCAACGTGCCGCCAAAGACGGGGAAGCGCGCCGGGACGGTAGCCCCCTGTGCGGAGGGCGCGAACATCGGGGCAGCTGTGGTCGTGGTCGCCACCGTGGTCGTGACCGCCGCGGCCGTGGTCGTTGCTGCGGTCGCGGTCGTGGTCGTCGACGGCGAGGCTGCGGTGGCCAGCGGCTGGGTTTGAGAGACGGGTGCGGTGGTCGCAGCAGCTGTCGCTGTAACGGTTGACGTTTCGGCTGCGGCTTGCGGGGAAGTGGTCGAGGTGGCAGTCGAGGTGGATATTGGCGCCTCAGGTGTGGCGGTGGCGGCGCTGGCGAAGATCGATTGGGCGCTCGACGCCGTCGTTGCGGTGGTCGTCGTCGGCCTTCCGAATATGCTCGAATTTCCAAATAAGCTGGCGGTCGAGGTTGCGGACGTTGCGAATATGGAGCCAGTCGGGGACGAGGGCTTGGGGTCAGATTGAGACGCAGGGAGCTGGGACGCCACCGCTTTCCCGAATATTGAGGAGGCGGACGCAGCTGGCGTCGCTTCGGCCTTCGTAGTTGGTTCAGCTGTGGTGGTGGTGGTCGCGGTGGGGGTAGATGGGAATGCTGTCGTCGCCTGGGATGCCGCTGCCCCGAACACGGGTAGTGGTTTCGGAACTAAAAAGGAATGATAACATTTTTGAGTACGGTCGTAAGAAGATTTCGATGGGACACACCAGTAATTATTATTATTATTTTTTATTTTGATTTTGTCATAAATCCGTAATTACAACGCTCCCAAAATTTTTGCTGTCCCTTATTCGACTAGAAATTATTTTACGTTGAAAACAAATATAATTGTCTTAAGCACCTGTTGTTTTGTTTAATTGCCCTACCCTATGGAAGCTAACCGAAAAGCAAGGGGCGAGAGATGTACCATTGCATAGTTTTATTCATAAGTAATTATTTGTAGCACGGATACTGTAATTGGTGACTTACCAGCCGAAGCAGCATTGGCGGCGCTAAACACAGAAGTGGCCGATTTCTCCGTCGAATCAGAGTTACCGCTCGTCGTTTCGGTTTTCACTTCGACCTTACTGGTTTCAGCTAAAATGAGAAAATCAATTTGAAAATTGTAGAAAATATTTTTTTTTCAGATTTACCTCGTATAAATTAAATTCCCAACACCTTAAGATAACATTCTACAAACTAGTTTAAATAAAATAATATAAAAAAAATCATTTACACATGTAGTTCGTGGGAAAACAATAAATCAAATCATACTTTACTCACTTATGCCCGGTTTCTGAAACACTGATCATCGTAGAAATTAACTAATCAGCTGTCAAATGCATTTGAGTTGCCAAAAGGAATACGGATTAAAATCTTTGAATTGATCTTTCTGATCATTAAGTGCGTGATTAACGGTGCGTCAATCACGTACAATTAGTGCACTTAATAACACAAAACATTTACACATCTCTTTCTAACAGCAGCGATTGTTGTATTTCTTTCTTCGACTTCTGCATCCTTACTTACTAATTTTATAATTACTAATATTATAAAGGCGAATGTTTGTACGTATGGATGGATGTTGGTTAATCTTTCACGCAAATACTACTGAATGGATTTTAATGAAACTACAATAATATAGCTTATACATCAGACTAACACATAGGCTATAATTTATATTCGCCTTCAGCCTGTGTTCTACGCAGACGTAGTCGCGGGTAGCAGCTAGTAATCACGACAATTCGCGCAATTTTTAGCGCAATTATACTCGTGCGTGACGGGTCTATATATATCAGCATCCTATTTATCTCTGTCTACCGCGTTAGTTTTCACTTCGACCTTACTAGTTTCTTCAGCTTAAACGAGAAAATCAATTTGAAAATTGAAGAAAATTTTTTTTTTTTTCAGATTTTTGTTGAGTTCATATATCAATTGCATTGATATTGGCTATCTCTGTCTACCGCATTAAATATTTTAAAGATTTAATTCTACACTTACACAATGACGTCACAACCGGAGCGGGCGCAACAGCAGTGGGTTGTTTAACCGATAGACCAAACGCTTTGGGTTGTTCGTCCGCCGCCTGGGTTTGCTTGGAATTTTCGCGGGCGTTCTCTTTGCCCGGTTTCGCGTCTATGGTTTTCGCTTCGGCCTTGAAGTTGGCGGTTCGCAAAACGTCTGGAACGTTCGACTGGGCTAGGGGTGGCGCTTTTAGCGTGAACGTGGCGGCCGGCGGACTTTGCGGTGGCAGCCCTGCTCTTTCGCCGGTCTCGGTAGTCTGCGGCAGCTTGCTCAGCATTTCGCTCATGTCCGCGATCGGTTTCGCCGAGAACACGGCTGGGGGCGCCGCCGTTGCGCCCTTCGAGACTGAAATGTGCACACGACGTTAACATTTGCGGTTTGCGTTAAAATGGCGTTTAACGTAAATCGTTAATGTTGATAGCGGCGTTTTATAGGGCTGAATGTGTTAAATGTAACGTATTTTATTTTACATCCAGACAGACTGGAAAGGTTTCGAAAAGTCGGGAATTTAAAAATCTAATTAAACGCGACAAAGTCCGCAAAATGTATTATACTTCTGAGTTTCGTCTGTTGAGTGAGGTAGCTGAGTGGGCCCCACTTTATTTAAAGGTGGAAAGGCATCTGCAATACTACGGGTGTTGCACATGTCCACGGGCGGCGGTTATCACTTAACATCAGGTGAACACTTAACTTAATGTGATATCACGGGCCGAGCCTGCGTATTCGTAGAACAGAAGTTGCTACGTGGCCCCACCACAGTACCGCAGAGTAGATATTAATAGAGCCTGCGGAACCGCAGAGCCGTGATAGCTCAGTGTCCGGGCGCTCACCTTTAATTCAATATACTCTAGCAACCTGAGTTCGATCCCCGGTGCCGGCACCAATGAAGTTTTTAACTTTAAGTGCTGACTTATCACGTGCTCCGCGGTGAAGGAAAACATCGTGAGGAAACCTGCTTATTTTCGAAATAATAACAAAAAAAAATTTCGAAGATATGTGAAGTCCGCCAATCCGCAGTGGGGCCGCGTGGTGGACTATGCCCTGATACCCTCTGTATAGAGGAGGCCTTTGCCCAGCAGTGGGACATGTATAGGCTGTTACTTTACTTTACTTTACTGCGGAACCGTGGGGTCCCGTACATCAATTTTTTTTTAAAGGTTTAGGTCCTAGGCTTAACGTCACGGCTGGTGACAAGAAAGCTGGTCAAAGATCGAGAAAAGATCTCGGTCAAAGTATGAGCATAATTATTCAGCGAGGAAATGAAGCTAGCATTCTTGGTACCATGCCGCGTGGATTAGGTTTATTAGATAATATGTAATTTTAGATATAATCTTGTAAATATTAGACAAATGTTATTAAACACACAGAACCTGTCCAGTTGTGCAACATAAATTACTACTACTATATTACCACAGTATAATAGCAATAGGTAAGACTTTACAATTGAAAGCGGAGGGCGAGCATATATTTTGGCTCATGAAGGTGTTCGCGTCGCTCTTCTCTGCGTTGGCCAGCGACTTGTTCTGCAGCATCCCCTTTAGCATTATGCGGGTCGTAGTGGTGACTGTCTGGTTGGTCTTCGGCTGTTCGGGCTTTGCGGTTGGCGCCTGCGCCTCGCGGCTGGGTGCAAATTGCACGGTTTGCGGCTTCGATTCTGCAATTATCGATGCACATATTTTCGAATCAGACATACTTTCGCAATAAATCAGTTATCATACCGTGGTTGCAGCGTTCATAGTATTATAACAAAACTGGCTAAAAGAGATTTGTTCTCGCGACAATAACAATGTCGTTACACACTTAATACAATACAGAGCTCGAGCAGTGGACATAGGCTGTTACTTTTTTTTATTACAGATAATTATTAAAGTCAATATTTCTATTGCTCTATCGGCGCGATTGTTTTCACCTCACCACGGACAAATATTTGAGGAATTGGCAGACACAGAGAAACAAGTTGGGAAATGCGTTTCTCTATTACTATACTATAATGTACCAATGCCGAATATAATGTACCAATTTGGAATCCTTTTTACTACAAATATGTAAACGAGATTGAGAAGGTCCAAGGAAAGTTTCTTCGCTCCATGCAATATAGATGTAAGAAATCCAATTTATCATATTCACAATTATTAAACAACTATAAATTGCTATCACTTGAGGCAAGACGTACATATTTAGAAGCTAATGTGTTATATTGTATCGTGCACAACAATTTTGATTGCATTGATTTAACAAATAAGATTTGCTATGTAGTTCCTGGTACTACCCATAAACGAACAGTTCGCCCGGGCACTCTCTTTGCCATCAATACTTGCCGAACAAACTCAGGACTACGATGTCAAACAAAATAGTTTCCAAATTAAATAAGTTAAGCTATACTTTTTAATAATTATGTATTTTGTATTCTTGAAGTGTTTTTTATTATATACTTTTTTTTATCTTTGTGCTATTTGTTACTGTTTTTTTTATTTTTATTTTTGTAACGTATCTAGTAGCTTCCATTAAAATAATATTGTATGTTTAATACGTGGATAATGGTAGTGGGCTGTAATATTATTACTACATCAACGCAACAGATCTGTTCATATCATATATTGTAGCTGTTTGTTATCCCCAATAAAATAAAATAAAATGAAAATTTAATGATTTACATTTTTTTAAATTTAATTTTAAGCCATATAATTAAGGGCTAACTTTAAGCTATAAGTTGAAGTCTATCGTCATCTATCGGAAGCAATTGATAAATTCCTTCTTATAGTATGAATTGACTGAATTACTAACCAATTATTTTTATTTACTGACCAAGTAAAACGACGCGATTAGTTTAGTGGATAGAGATCCTGTCTCTTGCGCCAGTGGGTGTGGGTTCAATCCCCACGACTGGAAAAATACTGTATTGAACATAGTGTTTTTCTAGCGTATACATGTTCATATATATTAAATATGCATTTATTGCAAAAGAAAAGTATTTTTAAGTTCCGTTTATCAGTTACCTAGTACTCATTATACAAGTTTGGCTTTATTTGGGACTAGATAAGGTAGTGTAAACCACAACAGATGACCTGAAATATATTCATTATATTTATTTATATTAATCAAGGTTGTCGACGAGAATCTCCAGAAAGAATATTAAATTATACATAAATTCATATTAGATATAATACCATTTTTTTTTCTTACCGTCTTCTGTAAAAAGTGTTCTCGCTACGTTAGCCAACACCGGTTTGACTGTCTTCGCGTTGCTGACTGGCGTATAAGTGGGGACCGTTATAGGCGGCACAGCTTTCATTTCTGGCTTGAATTCTTGAGGTTTCACATCTGTAATATATAGAATATTTCCCTAAGTATAAAAAAAAAGGACAAAACAGCTTTAAAAAAAAAAGCAGAGAATCAAGACATATACATATATCGAAACAAAGAAACATACAAATTCTCACATCGTAACCATAACTGAATTGACGTCACACACATTTCACGAAACTTACTAATTAGATATGCGTGTGTGGCAAGCGATAAGCCTGTCACTTACATCAGGCACAAATTAGTAAAGCTAGTAGTACGGTGATTTTATCATGTAAGAAATGCGGAATTCTATGTCGTAGTAGCTGTCGCCATAGAACCGGAAGACCGGCGTGAAGTAGAAGTGTTTTACTTTTGAGTTTCGTCCGGTGAGTGAGGTAAACTGGGTCCCCTTTTTTAAAGTTGACAAGATCACGGTTGGTCGACCGACTGCTCGCTGAAATTTTTTTACATAGAAAGAAAACTTGCCACGGAGTATTTGAGACGGATCAATTTTCGGACTTTCTGGTTCGAGTTTCACTTTTGCGGCTTCCATTATCTTCTCCTTCTCCTTTGCTTCTTTCTCCCTCAAACTCCTCTCGTAGTTGAGTCGCATGGCGATCAGCTGTTGCTTCAGTTCGACGTCGACCGGTTTAATTTTGACCGTTTTGTGGTTGGACAGCATGTCCCTTAGCGCGTCGAGCTTTTGATTTATCGACTTCTGGTCTTTGACTTTGTCTTTATCGGGCTCAATGCTCATGTTGAGGATATTCTTTGTCAGCTTGGAGAGTGGATCACTGAAATGAAAAGATTAACTTATATCGCACGCATCGATAAATATATAGTACACTTATGTGCGGGGCCCGTAGCAAATTCTTTCAAACAGCCAAAGCAAAAAAAAAAAATCAATACTCTTATTTATTTAATAAGTTTCACCCAAAAAATTTATGTCTCAGGCAGAGGGTTTAGATTGAGGGGCCCCCTTTGGCCCGGGCCCGTAGCAATTGCTACACTTGCTACATGGTTAATCCGGACCTGAAGGTCGTTAACATTTTTGTATCTAACCGACTTCACCAACTTTTGCGCCATAAAAAATTTCATATTCACATTTTTTTTAATCTCTTGTATCTTTTATTAACTGATGTTTTTGCTTTCAGTCCCGAGACTATTAAAGCTTCATCTGACGCAGAACCGATGGGCTAGCTAGAACCCACAGGTTTGGGATTTTTTTTAATGCGAAATGTTGTCAAACGAGCAGACGGTTCACCTGATGTTAAGTGAATATCTGCCACACCTTTTTGGCTTTGAAAATTGGGCTCCGGCTACCTCACTCACCAGACGAAACGCGAAAGTATTTGTCACATAGTGAACATTCTAATGATGAACTCACGCTTTGCTCCTAAAGGGGGTGCTTCTGAGTATTGTTGTGGTTTTGAATATGGGTGCCACGTCGCCGCACTCCTTGAGGGTATTCCTCAGGCTTCGAAGTACCGCCTGCTGTCTGCTGAGTATCTCCTGTTGCTTCACCAGGGGCTGATAGATGTCGTCGAGAATCGGACGCAGCATGCGCTGCCCTGGCCTGAAAATAAAATACGAGATCATACTTGTTATTTGCTGAAGAGGGAGACAGATATAGCTATTGGAAGGCCGCCTAAATTAGACATAATGTAAAGGAAACGACTTTGACACAGTAACACTTTGTCAATTCCTGAAGAGGGAAACATATATGGCTATAGTTAGACTGCCTAGATGAGACAGAGAATGTAAAGGGTCATTTTACAAAGCTTCTGCAATAACCGATTTACGTGATAGTTTTCACCTGTGGACGTCCATGTTATCCATTGCTTTGCAATTATTTTTTATAATTTGCAAAGAAGGACAGTCGTAAAAAAATATCGAGCCAAAACCGCTTACAACACGAGGTCAAAAGTTTAGTGATGCTAATGATTTTTATTATTTATATTCAGTTTCATTTGTTACGAGACAAATAATACCGGTAACTGTTCTGCAGTACGGTCAGAATAAGCGTATAAACCGATTTGCGTAGTGGATAGTGATCTCTTGAGCCGGAGGTTGTGGGTTCGATGCTCACATCTCGGAAAATAGTGTGTTGAAGAACATATTGTTTTTATGTCCTGGTGTTTATATGTTTATGAATGTATTTATTTAGAAAAGAAAAATATATTTAATAGCCTTAGTACTAACTCTGCTTACGGACTAGATAACCTGTGAAAATACGTCATGATATATTTAATATTTAATATGATTAATAATTGTAAAATGTATTTTTTATTAGATTACACAGATAAAAAAAAAACATAATAGAATTAATAACATTTACTAAATCTTCCAATAGTAACGAAATTTTTAACAACCATCATTAAGTGTGATATAAAATGATAGAAGACTGACTTATGCATATAATAATTTCTAATGAGTAGATATATTTCCGTTACTTACTTTTCGTTGGCATTCCTCGCGGCCATTTCGTTCCACTTGTGGTCTAGGGCCCTGTGCGCTTGGTCCAGCTGATTTTGTACGTAATAAGAGAGTTTCTTCACTGACGCGACACGTTTCATAGTTAGCGGGTCGGCCTGGCTCCACTCGTGTAAGTTTTTCGTGCTGTGGGAATGAAACAAACACTGAGTGAAGGTAAGGTATACTTTGCTTCTTTACCCGACTGCGCGAAGCCAAAAAAGGAGCGTTGCGTATGTATGTTTCACATTACCACTAAAGGGCCTTAAACGATTTTAATAAATGATGCATCGTTAGATTAGTCTTTATTGTACGAATGTCACTAGATAGAGTACAATTATAAAGAAAAATGAAAATAGTTTTTGGGGCCAAAATGCATATTTGCAAAAGATTTTTTTTGCTTGGCTTTTTTAGTTATTTTAAGTATTGTCTTGTTATTAGAAGGCACTGGTTCAATTTCGTCTGAAGTTTATGGCAATTATAAAAAGTTACGAAAAGCGCATTACGTTTTTCATTAATTTTTTTTCAATTTCTTCTCAGCAACTCTGAAACTTTCGTGGGCTTGCAACCTTTAACTCATACTAAGTAAGCTTATTAAAACAATTATTTAAAGAAATAATTATTGTATAAGAATGACGCTGGGAATCGAACCCACGTCTTCCGGATTCGCGCCAAGGCGCTTTAAACCCCAAGCTAAATGGCTCATTGCCACATCGATGAAAATCAACGCATTTTAATCTACATTGTTCTTCGCCTTTTAAGCAATACTTTTACGTTTACGTATACACAACTATCGTTACGTTTATATATACACAACTATCGTTTCAAACGACCGTTTGCAATAGTTCATGGACGGGGGTTATCACTCAACATCTTATGAACCGCGAGTTCGCTTGCCGCTTTCTCACATTAAAAAAATATGCTGTTAGTCTATAATATTATTTGGTAATTTCTTATACCTACGCTAACGGACAAGCCAACAATAGCATACGGGATGATTTTAAAGACGACGGACACATTAACAGAGCATATGCAGAATTTGATTCTAAATCTGAATCTGGTACGTTCTTGTGACCTGATTCTTTTTTAATTATTTTGAATTTTTTAAAACATTATGGACACCCCCTATTCACGAGCACTAAAACTGTTCGCTGACCGCATTATTACCAAACCGCTTATCAATAGGATGACCACTCTTAACGGGATAAACGAACGGTTATTTCTTGTCAAAATAAAATATTAAATTTTTTTGAAATTATGGACTGCTCAATTAACATCATGTCAAAGTGTGTACTTCGTCAAAAAAAAATCAACCTGTATATACACGTTATCGACAAACGGCTTTGAAACTCACTCTGTGTGCGTCCGGACCTCCGCTACTACGGCGCAAGCACGTACAAGGTCCAACTTCAACTGGACAATCGCCTCGCGCAATTCCTCTATGGAGCAATCGATTTTCAAGTGCTCCACGTCCTTCGGCTGGATACCGAAATCCGTATTGATCGATTCGATGTCCCTCTGGAGCTGGAACGGATTAAAATATGAGCGAGTTTTACCGTGGATTACGCGACACATAAAAGCAATGGCAACCAATAACTTTTTCACATTTACCTATATAGTAATTGATTTTTACTTATTTTTCTTTTGTTACGCTAAACAAGTAATAAGTATAGCCTTCTTATGTGCATATATGTACGCGCACACACACACACACACACACACACACACACACACACACACGCATATTTTTTAGACGTCGTCGTTTAACGATCGTGAACTATTTAACGACCCGGACGGAAATAACGTTGAACGCTGTTTGCGGTATCCGATGTGGCTAAAATGTAAATAATTTTATCTTTTGAACGAAATTACTTTCATATTCTACCATCTACGGTAATGAGCTACTGCACATGATTATTTTAAATGCTATTTAATTGACGATCTTAAGTACTCAAAAACGAGAGAGTTGATGATTCGGTGGCGCAGTTGTTAAGCTTTTAAGGTTTCGGAGGCGACTTTCGCGGGTTCGATTCCCACACGGGACAAGTATTTGTGCGACCCACTTAAAGTTATGCCCATTCTGGGTGATTATTCCCAAGGAAGTCGACGCCAGGTAGGCGCCATAAGTACAAGAGAACGCCTTAGTAAAGTACTTCGGAAATATCATTCTCTGTTAAAGAATCTTCGTAATAGATAATCAGTTGCATTTAGTGCACTGTGAAGATGTCAACTCCAAATATTATTTAATACTTTTGGTCGCGTACTATAAATCATAATGGATAAATAACAACGACCAATGGAGTATGTTAGAGGCATCATCTGTCTCAACTTTACGTGTGTCTATTTGAAATTTTTCTTTTAGAAATTCGGCCTACCTCTTGTTGTTTATGTAAAGTTCCACAAGGTATTTTAAAGTCAAATGTCAAAATTTCTAATAATAAAATAGGCTCATTTCAAGCTCTTATTGAATGTCAAATTAGATCTATTCAGAAAAGAACTGGCAATTAACTTTGCGGTCTCCTTTTCTTTTTTAATTTTCTTTGTTTCAACCAGTGCTGCCAAGGGAATGTGAATTTCGATTGGACAATTGAATTAAATTAAAGGTGAAACATTTTGAACAGACGTAACAGTTCGATGCAACCAGACCTTGATGTGGGCTTCTCTCGTCTTCACCATAAACTTGTGCAGTTCCATTTGGAAATCGTTCACCTCCCTTATCAGCATGTTCTTTAGTTCCTCGTTCGCTTTCATTTTGTTCACCCTCTCCTGTTCGTTCTTCAGCGCGTTCATCTCCTGCGTTTGTATCGGCGTTTGCGGTTTCGGCGCTTCTGCTGACGTTACCGGCTGCGGTGGGGTCTGTAAATGTTTTTGCGAGTTATATAAAAAGTGGTTTTCAATAGTTAATTAGACAAACCATAACTATTCCAATAAAAATTAACGCCTAACGTGTACTTTATGTGCTCTTTTGTCTTTTCTCTTTTAGTTATTTCGGCATTAGCTGATGGCTGAGTAGCGCAGTTGCCAAGCCATTTTTTGTTTAGCTTTTTTATTGTAATATTTCTGTTTAATATCATTCAGAGTAATAATTAAGACATTGAATTTACAACAAAATTAAAAATAATGGCATCAATTGTTAGATATAAATTGTCAATTTAACGATGAACGCAATATTTCTATAAACAAAAATTTCAATAGTAAAAAAAAGTTACCTGTGATGACGGGTTGTGAACAACAGGTATTTGTGGTTTCGCATCAACGGGCTTTGTGTCACTAATCTTAGGGGCTGCACCTGAAAAGCGAAAAACAATGGTCTTATAAATTAATTCTGTCAAAACGTCATTGCCGTGGGTTAAACCCTGCCTTAAATTAGACCAAACATTTTAAACAAAATTAATGAGACTCACACTAGTGATTGCACGAAATATTACTTTTAATCTTTATAAAAATCATTATTGAATGAAAATATTTTTATGGATTGTCTTCCATAGCTTACGAATGGTGCATCGTTTACGAAACGATCAATTAAGTTCAAAATACGAACAATTTAAGTTTAAGCTAAACTTTCGTACAGTCCTGTCCTGTATTTAAACTCTACTCACTGGAAAAGAGTCCAGAGGTGGCCTGAGATTTTTGCATGGCGTACGCTTGTGGGTTCGCGTTTCCGAACGACTGGCTGAATTGATTTGCCGACAGTTGCGGTGGTTGTTGTGGCTGGACCGCAGTCGGCTGGGCAGGTTGTGGCTGGAAAGCCGCCGGCTGGACCGCAGCCGGCTGGGCAGGTTGTGGCTGGAAAGCCGCCGGCTGGACCGCAGCCGGCTGGGCGGGGTTGTGGCTGGAAAGCCGCCGGCTGGACAGCAGCCGGCTGGACGGGTTGTGGCTGAAAAAATTGGAACACTGCATTAAAGATGCTGCATCGGAAAAATTTAAGAATGTTTAGAAAAAAACTGTCTCAAATTTTTCGCCACTGCCCGGATTCGAACCTGCCCCTTCCGGATAACGCGTCCAGACTCAGACAGTTCTTCTCATCACATCACAGACTCGGACATTCTTATCACATGTTCAGCGGTGAAGAAAACATTGTGAGTAAACCTGCATATTTTCGAAATAAAAACAAAAAAAAATATTTCGAAGATATGTAAAATCCGCCCCATCGTCAGTGGGGCCGCCTGGTGGACTATGACCTAATACCCTCTATACAGAGGAAGCCTTTGCCCAGCAGTGGGACATGTATAGGCCGATACTTTACTGTACTTAAAATTAACAATTTCAATGGTGCAGGCACCGGGGATCGAACTCAGGATACTCAGTATATTGAATTAAGGGTGAGCCCCCGGACACTGAGCTATCACGGCAATTGAGAAAACCTCTTTAAAAATGTTCTAACATCCACTGAAATAAATTTTCACTATTATGAGTCTATCACTGCACGTACCATAGGTTGATTTACGGGCGCGGTCGAAGTAGGCGCAACTGTAGGCTGAGGAACATCGTCGGGTATAGCCCTAAAATAAAACTTATAATGAAATGTTTTAATTAAGAAAAAGGAGGTTTGGAATTCGGTAGTATTATAAAACGATTAGGAAATGCTTTTCATGTTAGAAAGGAGATATTTTCAAGGGGGTCTTAAAGGGGATTTTCACTGAATTGGCATTGGATTCTGGATTTTGAAGGTTATATTTTCACACCTTGATTACACATGGGAACTCCTAAAATCTGATGAGATATTTGATGTATTGAATAAGTTTAATTAATTTATATATATTAATGGGACTTGTTAACAATAAATATCAATGTCATAATTGCATACAAAAAGATTTACATATTTATAGAGTTCCATACCTTGTCATTACAGCAGCTGGGAGTAACAATTGTTGAAGGGGTGTACAAATGGAAGGCGCTTCTTTCTTTAGGTTGATAATATTGAAAATTGATAATAGGCCTGTTTGTGATAAAACAAGAAGAAGTGGCATTGGTGGCAACATTTCATTTTCACCTGTAACAATAGGCAAAGAAAATTGGAAATGAATGACTGTAAATACTATAAAACAGCAATATGTCAACAAAAATTATAAACAATTAGGAACTACAAAATTTTAAATAAATGTTTACTGGTTTTAAATAATACTGGATACCCAAAACCTAAATAGGGCCATTTACTCTAATAGGAATCTATATGAAGTTGACTCTGCAAGCTACAATATATCTACTGTTGGGTACAAGAGTTACTTTAAAATTATTTGCACTAACCCCATGGCAATTGATGAATAGCGCATGTATCAACACATATTCCTACAGGATAATTTTCTTGGGTTTTGTTTGTCAATGGAAGTTCTGGTCTTGCTTCATCTGGCTGTTAACATAATTATAATAATTTTAGTATCTTATCTTAAATTATGGATAACTGGAAATTTTATCTCTAATGATTCACCTGACACCATTGCAACCAATTAGCACCATCATTGGAGCCAAGAGTTGCAATTTCCATGCTGTTTGATGAAGATGCAAGTATCATGTTCCTGTAAATATTATAAACAAATGTAATATTTATAAGCTTGTATATTTGTATTAAAACACATGAATTAATTGACTTACCATTGGGACAAACCATGAAGATAGTAGTACCATGGTCTGCTTGATGCCATGCTGTAACAGATGTCTTCATAATTGAAGCAGGAAGGTTGACCGCCTTTTGGTGTATTAACAATAGTAACAGCTAAAAATAATAAAAATAACTTGAAAGGTTTTGTAAACAAAAAGACACCAATAGCAATGTAGCTACTTTATTTAAGGTTGAGCTTAAACATAAGTTCGGAAAATTGCTATAATCTATTTAGGTTTCTACTAATTAGAAAAAAAAAATCCCTATTTTATTTTATATATTTGTGTATTTTTATTTGATTTAAAACACATTTTTTATTACAAAAGACGAATGTTCAAAATTACCTTTAGGCAATTCCATAAAGAATTTGTCCAAAGTTCTACCTTTATATAGTTTATAAAGATCTAAAGAATTAAATACTAAACCTGGTCGGCTGTTATCTGTTGCGTTTTTATAAACCACAGCAAATTGATAAGTTGAAATCCAAAAGATTGCTAGTGCCTCAACCGCAGCCCCTTCAAACAAATTTGGTGGGGGCACAACTTTCATTGGTGACAGATCAGGTTTGTACTGGCACAGTGTGCCATCATTGTTGCCAGTTACAAGTTGTTTGCCTTTGGGACTCCAACAAATACATCTGAGAAAAAAAGACTTTTTTTTATCTGCAATACCAAACATTTTGTACCAACCAGCTACAGATCTTAAAGATGGATCAGGATGAACCAGATACAGATCTTAAAGAGATCTGTAAATACAGACCAAATGGTTCATCATGATTCTGCTGTCAGCCAGTGAGTCACATCAAACATTTCCTTTTGAAAAATTTTTAATCTTGTAACAACATTGCCCTTACTTTAGGATAACGTTACGGTTGTGAGGATGTTTTACAAACGTTAATTTCATGTGGAAAATTATCTGTGAGACACACAAATAGTTGTCTTGTGTGGGAATCGAACCCACCTTTGGTATGCAACCACCATAAATTATGAGTTTTACATACTACACTTTCACTTTATTGAGTACAGTTTTCTAACTTACTTCACATTAGATTGCAGCTTTTTAACTTGCATGGTATTGACCTGGCTCACAAGTAATGTACCATCAAGGAATGCAATAGCAATAGTGTCAGTGACGCATGGGTTCCACTGTACTGAAGACACAGAAGTTGCTGGATTCACATCTAACTTTATAGAGAAGGATGGTAAAGTATTCTGAAAGTTAGAAACAAGAACTGAATGTAATGACAATCATAAGATACCGTTGCACATCTGATTAGGAAAAGTTAAGCAATTACTTTTTTTAATGACAAGATTTAATAAGATTTAATTTTATACACACAAACATTTTATTTAAATAAAAGCGGCGACAATCTTTTCGCACTTTTTTAGCCATCCATAACTTTTCAAATAAGAATGCGTTAAGATTTTCGTCGTGTGGGGTCATCAGCCGTTGCTCAGTGGAATCAGGCCGCCAAAAATAGCCAACAATTTTTTCTTACATCATTATTTACATTACACACTTAAAATGTATTACCTAATTTTAATAATCTGATGAGATTAAGTAGTAAACACATTTTTTTTTGTAAAAATGAAACAATGCTTCTTGGGTTATTTGTTTTAATCATACTAATTACCACCGCTTACCTGATTTTGAAAATCTGCAATCTTATATACAAAAAGATTTGTTTTGCTAATAAGGGCCAACCATTCTTGATCACAGTTTACTGCAATGTGTGTTGGTTCTAGCTGTAGCTTTATTGTTACATGTGATGGCTCACATTCCTTATTAACAAGATCTTTTAGGTAGTATGCTGTTGGGATAGTTTTGGCATATAGTATGTTATAAGGAACCCTATCTTTAATATTAACGGAATAAACAAAAAAACACAAAATTTTAGTTGAAGTATTATAGTAAGATATGGTATACAGCGTGTCGTTACCATCGCGACAATAAATGAACACACGTCTAATGCTACTTGCCAATAATCATAAAAAAATATTAACGTTAAACAAAATCCATATTTAAAAACATATATTTTTCAAACAAACTAATTAAGTAAAAAAGAAACAAAATTTGTAAAACCTATATAACTCGCGCTACAGCGTCGCATTACAAGCCTCTCCTTCTAACAGTATGTTTTGTCTCTTATAAATTCATTCAACCCATTCATATGCTTTGTGACCTTTACAAATGAACTTTAAGTTACGCTTTTATAGGTAAGGGTGTTCTAAAATTCTTTGTTTTGGAAAATTTAATAACTCTGTAAATTTTGATGTTTAAAGAATTTAAATGTTTAATACAACTTTAAAAAGTTATCCCCTATATGTGTGTTCATTTATTGTAGCGATGGACACGCTGTATAAATTTGAAATTTAGATTAGAATAAGATAATTATTCAAAACATCATTGAAACACACAAACCTTTGTTCTATCTGTTCAAAATAAATAAATTTTGAACCTAATTTATCTTAATTTATAAATAAAAATTTTTTTGGTATCCTGTATTTTCCAACAAAGAAAAATATCAGCATATATATTGTATGTAACATAATCACATATTTTCCTGATTCAACTAACAAGTTTTAATATTTTTTTTCTGGAATAAGTAGGCATGACTGTCGATTTTTACTCGATAATTCTAGTCTTGGTAAGATTTCTTTATTGTTTAAAAATATTTGTCAGTAAAAAATATGTTTCTATTCTAGATACATTTACCAAAATATAGCAAAACGTGTAAATCATTCTATATTTACCTGATAACATGCAATTTGGTGAAACAATGAATACAATTCCATATTTACTAGAGCTAGCTACTAGGTTGTAGCCACGGTTAGGTAATGAGTTGTTTGTGTTAAAGACTTTAATTTTGCGTTGTAATTTGTACAAAATATTCTGCAACAAAACCAGAGGTTATAAACATTATAAAGATGCAGTTGTTAAATAAAACACAGCGTTTAAATAGAAATGCGTTATGAATACCGGTTCATCAACAGAGTTAGGTCCAATTTTTACTTCCATTGTAATATTTAGAATTGATCTCGAGTCACTAAAAAGAAAGGTATAATTTTATAGTATATTTTTCAGATTTCGAAAAAAATTTAGTTGTAACTTAAATTATTTCAAAAATTATCATAATAGTTAAAACAGGCGACGGACAACAATTCATTCATCACTAATATGTCAAAATAAATGTGCCAACTGTCAATCAATTGTCAAAATTTAACTTTTTTATTATTTCAAACATTGGCGTTAAAGCTTTTAGCCAAAATAACGTAACATGATCGAATAATTCATTGTATTTGTAGGTTTAACGATGGTTCAGTTAGTGTTTTAATTCCTTAGATATATAAGCTTTATTTAAGCTAGCTTCACCACTCAGGACTTTTATGGCTTTTATTAAGCCACAATAAATCAAATAAAAAAATTGTGACATGGAATTGCCTCTTTGGACGTGTGTCCTAGGCATCTATTGCTTAGATATTTGTTGCATCCTTTCGCGTCCTGCGCGTAAAGCTAAGAACTCACACTGGGCAGGCCTGTGATGCAGTGTTCGGTTCCGAGTAAGCTCATTGACCTTACTCTGAATGTGAGCAATTGGGGTGGGGGGTACAATTTGATGGAGATGTGATGGTTTGCTACCTGAGAAAGGGTTGCATAGATGGCCAGTGCTGGCACTATCTCGGATGTATGTGAAAGCGTTCCCGAGGCCTTGACGATATACGTATATAAGGAGAATATCGTAGGACTTTAAATAAAAAGGGCGAGCTATGTCGCCCATTTTATTTATTTTTTTGTTAATGTGAGGTAAATGCCTACACATACCCGCCCTCGCAGGGGCAAGGACGGCTTATGTTAGACTCACACCGACAAAACCCTCCATGATGTTTTACCTAGGGCGCATGTCGGCATGGCCACGGGAACGCTTACACACTCTTCCGCGACCCTGCCAGCGCTGGCCACCGCAGCAAACCCTTCTCGGGGAGCAAGTCACTTCTCCTCCAGATAAGGTGCGCATGAACATTCAACGCGGCTTCCTACTCAGTCCTTTGTTCACGGCCAATGAGCTCCCTTGAGTTCCACTCCCGCGGCCCCACCACTACTGCCGCACCCCGCCGAGTCACGGATGATAGAGAGAGAGAGCAGCGAATCGTAATACTATCATTCGGTTGTAGTAACTGTCAATAAATATATTTTACACGGTGAGAATCACGCCATTTAAAATATTTTTTACTTTTTACTCTTTGTATTAAATTAAAATAAATGTGGATCACTAGTAAAAGTTAAAAATGACTAAGATATAGATATAAAAATAATCGTAAATACAACGCTATAGTTAGTTATAGTTCGACATAGTTCCATTACTGCCAGGGCTGTGAAAGAAATATAGACTTGCCTTTTTGACAGTAAATTTATTTCTTACATATACATATACATATCATAACATTATTATAGCTCTATCTAGGGCTGAAGTTTTTCCAAAAATAAAATAACAGAAACAAAACCGAGCAAATTATCTCAATTATGATAAATTACTGTTTGATTTCTGTTTGAGTCTTGAAATTTCTGTTTGATCCTGAGGTATCATATTTGATCTGGAGTCCAAAATCCAATACCATTGAAATTAACATGGTAGATAACATCGAACCCAATTCAAATCGGATTATAAATAACGCAGTTCTGCGTTAACAAACACAAAAAAAAAACATACGACCGAATTGAGAACCTCGTCCTTCTTTGAAGTCGTTTGAGTAGTGGAAGTATGACAAATACTTTCGCGTTTCGTCTGGTGAGTGATGTAGCCGGAGCTCAATTTTCAAAAGGTTGTCAACGCATCTGTAACCTTCGGGTGTAGCAGATGTCCATGGGCAGCGGTATTCACTTTACATCAGGTGACCCGTCTGCTCGTTTGGTAATTTTTCGCATAAAAAAAAACCTGCGTCATAAGATTTCACACAAGAATATTTAAATTGTACTTACCTTTTAATTACGAATTAGTTTCCTTAGTAAATAAAACTACTTTTACAAATTAAACCGTCTTATATGCCATGTTATGGATAAGAAAGTGTTAGTTATTACAATAAATTGGTAAATATATATATATTCATAGGCATTAATGAAACGTTTAGTTTCCGCTTTAGTACGGTCATCCGACCTACACTTTTAAAGATAAGTGCTCTCCGGGGAAATCTGCCCTCCTTTGACGTCCCGTGGTAATAATGTTTGCTCATTTGAGTGTTCTTGTGCCGGATCTTGTCCAAAATAGTTAATGGCGTTTTTTGGCCTATATTGCAGTTTTAAAAACTGTTATAATTTTTAACTCTTAGAGTAGGCGTATTTAGTGACTAGCTCATTAATTAAATAAAGCGTGAAACTGAAAAAAAAAAACTTAAGCGTCTCACCGTGCAACAACTTTTAATAAAAGCTTAATTTGTTAAAAATAGCTCAGGATATCCGCGATCTGTAGTAGTTAGTTAAAACTTAATGCAATTTTTTTTTAATTTCTTACGTTATGATAATTATATCTATTTTATATGGACATAATTTGATTATAATTTAATAGAGACAACGACATTGTTTTGTATCGTATATTCAGCTTTCTTTGACAATACAATCAAACCGGAAGAAATTTAGCGTAGAGTATTTTTTTAAATTAAATGATATGCCAATTAGTTGCTCTTGAAATGCTCCATTAGAATCTGTAATTGCTCCATGTTTATTACTATTGATTAATTTTTAATTAATTTAGAAAATTTGATTTTGCCATAAAACATAAAATGTCCAGGTAAAAATTTTGGAATAAGTGATTGTAAATAAGTGACCGAGAGCTTATTAGATTCTGGGTCATACTAAAATATATGACATAGATATTCTTCTCGACCATGTAAGTATATTTTTTCTCGTTCATTAAAAGTTCATTAAATTGCTGCCATTTGCTCTATTAATTTGAAAAAAAAATATAACAATTTTGCAATATTTATAATAATTAATATAAAAAAAATATTTGCATGTAAATTACTGCAGTATGATGTCATCAATGGCAATTGAATTCATTGAAAGCTATGTTTACATGAATCCTCGTCACGACATTTTCATGTTTTATCCCGGCCAAGTCAACAAAATAAAATAAAGTAAGTAGTAACTAGAAACAATGTTTTAAATATAATAGACAAAATCGTTTAAAGTCTTAGTACATATCTTCCACTAGCACCAAAAGCTTCCATGATGGTCTTACAAAATCAATCTTTTTAATCTTAGTGAACTTACTTTGCTGCAGCTTCAACCACTTCATCTGAAGAAAATTTTTAGCCACTGAGATGTTGTTTTGTAGGTGTGGAAACGTGTCAATGACTTACGATCCCAAAAACTGATGCCATCACCTTGCTTGTCAACAAAATGGCCTTATTTTTCCATTTCTTATTTATGTAAGAATGCGACAAATGAGTGCCAACTCGGTACACCCGATGTTAAGTAACAACCGCCGTCTATTGAAATTTGCAACACCCGTAGGGCTCCAGATGCGTTGCCACCTTTTAATAAAGTGGACCCCGGCTACCTCTCTCATCAGAAGAAACACAGAAGTATAACAGTTCCACTTCACGCTGGTCTTCTGTGTGTTCGTGGTGCCAACACGGACGGATTTGTTCGCACCCATTCATACAACATCGAAGATTGCTGTTACGTGGCCCTACGACCGATAAAACTTTAGATTGTTGTTTAGATTCCGGAGTAAAATAATTATTAACCCTGCACACCTGCAAGCAGCTAACGGCGGGCGCACGGTCAGTGCGCAATTGTTTATTTGTTGGTTAAAATAACACAGATACTTCCCGATTGATCCATTGAAACTATAAGCTTTTTATATACTCTTTACTCCACTCCACTTACGTCTGCTAAACTACACAAACATATACATTACATGTTAAAAGGCAAATAAAATGCAAAAGTAGACTAGTAAGAAGTAAATATAATTACGGCGGAGTAGAATCGTAAAACTAAAACGACGGGTGGCTGTTTGTGGAAAAAGCGATAAGATTTTTCCGACGAATTGCATTAGGTATCTTTGACCATTCATTATTTATTACTGTCGTGAAAAAGGTTATAATCAAAGGTAGATACACATTTATCACTTCTATCTTGCATGATATTCTAATGTGAGTTTCTTATTAAAATCACGTTTTAATTAAAATAGGCTCCAGCTTTACTCTAACTTTGTATCAGTGAAAACAGTTATCAGTTAAATGCACAAACAAACAATACTTCTTCATAATAAATGTCAGTAAGTATTTGTCGATAGAGCTAGAGCCCATTTTCTGCATATTTTGAGAATATGATAAAAAAAATCATATAGTCATTTAGTTTTATTGCCTGAAGTGTATAAAATTTTCGACACTTAATGTTAAACGCGTGGGTGGTACCAATGTACTTATAAATGAGGACGAGTTAGGCCTTGTGGATATCACTGTTTTTCTTGAAATAACGCTTGATTCAAAGCTTCAATAGGGCCCGCATAATTATATCCAAACGTGCTAGTAGACTAAGTTCTGCAGCATATGCTGTAAGGAAAATAACATGTGTGACTTATGTAAAAATACAGCTAAAATCGTTTATTTTAGTTATTTCCATAGCATAATGTCATGCGGTATTTTGCTATGGGGGCATGCAGCAGATGTGGAAACAATATTTATTTTGCTAAAAAGGGCCATAAGAGCAATTTACAATCTGAGTTTGAAAGGATCTCTGAGAGAGAAATTTAAAGAAATAATTATTTTAACCTTGGCCTCTCAACATATATATGAAAATGTAATGCATGTACATGGAAACATTAATAATTTTAGTAAGAATACTGATATACATAACGTAAATACTAGGAACAAATACAAGCTTGTAATGCCAGTTAACTAGACTACATAGAGTCAGTAAGAAATTTATTAAAGAAAAACTTTTTAAAAAAAGTTATTATACTGTAAATGAATACATTAATGATAATAACCTCTGGGAATGAGATGATCGCTCCTAAGCTGTTTATAAAAAAAATTGTACTACATTGTTATACATGTATTTGTTTGAAAAAAATGACAAAAAAGAGACTTTCTTTTTTCTTTCGCTTATTTCTTCTCCGTTAGAGGAACCCCAACAGTATGAAATGTATATTTCTTACTTCGATGAATAAATGATTGGATTTGATTTTAGTTTATTAACCGTTAGAGTCAGATGAAACAATTATATTGTCAACTTAACTGTGGTAGGGCCACGCAACAGTTTTCACTGTTGCACGAACGGGCAGGTCCGTCGGGGTAATTACCACGCCTTCATAGAAGACCAGCGTAAAGTAGAAGTGATACACTTCTGCGTTTCGTCTGGTGAGTGAGGTAGCCGGGGCTCACTTTATTTAAGGTGGAACCGCATTTGCAACTCTACGGGTGTTGCAAATGTCCATGGCCGGCGGTTATTACTTAACTAAAATATTTCTTATTAATATGGGGTGATTCGGTCGATTTAATCAGAGTTTTCAGAGCGCAAAAAAAGATGTCTCAGATCTATATGAGGCGCAGAATACCTAGACAGATGTGTACCACTATTTAAAAACACCATATTCTGCCGCTACCTTGTTTATACATTTTCGAAATTTGCATATTTGCTCATAAACATCTGGCCCTCTTTAAAAGTAATCATCTATTTTTCCCTCTGTAATCCATAGGTAACATTGACAATATTAATATATTATACTTTCATATATTTATTTATGTTAATTACATATATTATATATTTATTTATGTATATGTATGTTTATTATAATTTATTTTATTATTATTAAGTAAGTTTATTAAGCACACCACCTCCCACTATTCACAAGTTTATTTTCCTTGTCCTAAGGTTGTCTGGAAGAGATCGCTCTTTAGCGATACGACTGCCTTATTGTACTTAGCTTTTAAGATTTATTTTATATGAACTGTATAAAACTTTTTGTGGTGTACAATAAAGTATATATAATAATAATAATTTAGACATAAACAACCGAAATAGTAGATTCTCAAACAAACGACACATGCCTTCCGTACCACAATGTTCAGCAACAACTGTTATTGTATGGTCAGTAGGATATAATTATTTAAATGATAAAATTTTATAAAAACAGTTTTCCTAGTTTATATTTACTTTTGTTTTGTACCTTTTTTCCATTTTTTTATGTAAAATAAAATATTTGTACATCAGAAATGGAAGAATATAAAGGATCCACAGCTTTTAATACCTATATTGTACTATGTTCTAGCAAATAAACGTATATTTCTTTCTTTCTTTCTAACATCAGGTGAACCCCAAGCTCGTTTGCCACTTTTTCACATTAAAAAAAAATCTTTGATTATATTCAAAAAACAAGAAAATACAAAACTCAACTCAATGTCTATTCCAAAAAAAATGCCGACCGACGTCCCATGGACGCTTGGTGAATAAAAAACATGCATCTCAGCTTCGCAGCTGCGGGTGAATTTATGTAAAATCAATGCAGCAAATAAAACACGAGCAAACGGCGCATTCACGCCGCGTCACAATTAGCGGACGTCACGCTGCGAGGGACGGTTTGTTGTTTCCATTCGGACAGTCCTGTCGAGTCAATGCTATATAAAGATTTGCAGTGCAAAGTATAAACGATTTCGCTTACCATTGTACCTTAACATAAATAATCAAATATATAAGTAGATAAACTCGCTTATTTTTAAGCTAAAAGTTGACTAGCGAGCAGGTGGGTCTACTGATGTTAAGTTATTACCACCGCTAATAGACAGACATCTACGACACCAGAGGGGTTGCAGATGCGTTGCCAACCTTAAAAAAATGGTCACCAGTTACCTCACTCACCGGACGAAACGAGAAAGTATTTTGTTATGTCAGAGTATGGCAAGCGAGCTGGCGGTTCACCTGATGTTAAATGACAACCGCGGTCCATTAATATTTGCAACACCTGTAGGTTTCTCACCAGACGCTACGCGGAAGTATTAATGTTAAGCTTGCCTATTCGTCAACGACAGAAACTACTGCGTGGAACTTTTGCTTACAGTGAACTTCTGCTTATTAGTTGAAAACACTATTACCTACTAAGAAAACAATCGTTTTTCAAGAAAAAAAAATGTATCTATATAATTAGAAGAATATAACTTAACAAGAAGCGGCATCGGCAGCAATTCTTAGCAACATTATGATTTTAAATTGTTTAACAAATTAAAATTGATATGTAATCCATGAAATTCATTTCAATGAATGGTGTATAAATTGGAGTTTTTGCGCCATCGAACCAGGTAAATTGAATGAAAGAAATATCCATTTGGCTTTATATATTGGAATTGAAAAGGACTTTCAAATATCGCATTTTTTTATGAAAGATAAAGATTCAGCGAGGTGTGGCATGATATTTCAGACCTATTGTTGATTAACTTATTATAAAATTAAAGGCGTATTAAGTAAATATAATATTCTTTATAATTAATTGTTTTTGTCATTTCTACGCATAAAGAATGGCTTTAGTATATTATGTTCTTTTGTACCAAGTAAGTGATTGCACACTATTTCATTATTGAAATATCTTTGAAGGACCTCAATATCATTATGGTATTACATAGCGTAACACTTCTTGTTCGATGAATTCGATTCCGAGTTAAGTCACCCAGAAACACAAGATTGTTTCCGTTCAATAGGTCTAATCGCTCAGTTGGGTATTCGTGCCGAAACGATCCTCTTTTATTGGCGTCTCTTTGTTGAATTATTCGACATTTTCATTTAATAGGTACTTGAGCCCAATTTCGGTGGTCTGCCTAAATTTTGCAGATGATTCGTTTCAGTAATACTCTGTGACTGCGAAACAAACAATCAACTAAAATATAAAACATTTATGTTTACGTTACGATAAGCAATCGATTATTGAAGTGACCTTAGCTGAGGGGCGAATAATTCAAACATGAAATTCAATATACATATGCAACGATATCTGATACCCGTTTCGTGTCCCATGTCGGGAACGGCGGCCAGTATCTCCCTGACGCTGTGCTCACTCGCACAATTCTTTTACACTTAAAACGGTGCGTTTAAAATATTAACTTGATCTCGCGAATGCATGGTGAATCGTTCTATTTTTGAATTTACAGATTAAAAATGTCTAGCACCAGAGTGGTAGCGATAACCGGATGCGACAGTGGCCTTGGATGGGCGGTGGCCGCCCGCTCAGCCCGCGAGGGTCTTGTTACAATCGCGGGCATGTACAAAGGGACGGACACGGATGCCTCGCGCGCCTTGAGCAATTTATGCGCCCACCCGTATCCACTTGATGTGACTAGGCCGGACAGCGTCAGTAGGTTTCGTGATTACGTACAGGCTATTTTGAGAGTTAATACTAATTACAGTAAGTATTTTTTACTTATAATTTTTTTATTACATTGCACTTACCGTAGGATAACATTGCCCTGTTTTGTATGGTTTAAAATACATACATTTGACGTAGACCAACACCCAGACAATGATCTGGGGGTCAAACAAATAGTTGTTCTCTGTGGGAATCGAGCCCACGACACCCGGCGACGAAGCCAGTACCTTGGCAACTGCACCTCGGGGTCATGCTGAAGTGCTCCATAACTGTGTACTTTCATAGAGATAAAATTTTCTGCTAGTGTTAATTACTACAAAAGTGGATATGCCTTGTTTTGATTTCCTGCCAAGTAGCAATAATATTGGTGTAATGGTACTTCGTATGTATGCCGCCTGAGATGATTGTTTCCTCTTTTCAGGATTGTACGCAGTTGTCAATAATGCAGGGGTCATGACTATCGGTGATTTTGAATGGCAAACCCCAAATATTATAGAGAACACTATAAATGTTAACTTGCTTGGTGCTATGCGAATCGTTTCAGCATTTTTGCCCGAGCTTAGAAGAAGTGTAGCTGATGTAAGTACATTATAACATGTTAAGAGTATGCGTTAAATAACATTGAGCTTATAGACATTATGATGTCCTGTGTAAATATTATGATATCCTGAAAAAAACTTTATAAAACCACTCCACGCCCATATTAATAAAAATAATATAATTGATTTTTTTAAGAAACAAATGCAACAATATAATTAAACCTTTCGACTCCGGAAATATATCAGGGAATTCCACAAACACGAATACGAAATGTTACAGTGAGTGAGATATTTGAGGTCAGTTTTGTTTTTTTGTTAGTAAATATGAAACCTGCATATTTTCGAAAAAATAATAATATAAAAAATATTTCGAAGATATGTGAAGTCCGCCAGTCCGCAGTGGATCCGCGTGGTGAACTTTGCCCTGACCAGACGAGGCCTTTGCGCATTAGGACTTATAAATACGCCGTTACTTTACTAAAATGTTATTGAAACAAAAACTTCGATTGAAACTCATAAAAGTGAAGACGTACTACTTCCAGGAATACCACTTCTTCCGACAGATATTGCGTTCGAGTTCAAACGACTTCAATTTCCTATACGCATTTCCTTCGCTATCACTATCAATAAAGCAAAGACAATCTTTGCCAAAACGTGTCGTTGGAATTTACAAAACCACTGCATTTCTCAATGGAATATGATATGTCGCATACTCCAGAGCAAGTAAACTAACTGATCTATAAGTTTGTGAAAACGGATGAACAAAATGTGTACCTCCTCCACAAACGTTACAATAAAAAGGTAGTCATAGAAAAGTAAAGTAAAATTAAGTTCAAAATTTCCGCGGGAAATCTGTATAAAATCTATATAATTATAATTATGTATGTAGGCAATTTTCAACTTTCTACCCTCATATCTACTATCAGACAAAGCCACAGCGACGCAGGGCCGGGCTTACCTATTAACGATATAATATGTTGTGTTAACGTTTTTTTAACACAATCGTACGCAAATTCACACGAAAATATGTCTCAAACAAAATCCACAATGATGGGAAAAATATCTTTAGGTGCATTTATATGTCCCGTCCGGTAGTGGGTAGGAAGAACGAGAAGTGCTCGTAGAGCAGAAGTACTTCCTCAGTAATAAATCCAACGAGTCATTATAAATGTGGGGTTGCTGACCGAATTTAGAAGGACTTGTCACTATTATACATTCCATTACCCATATACACATACGGCGCCCTCGCCCTGTTTGGAGGCCGTAGGTCGGAAAGACAAAACATTCGATGATTTACACAAATCATTTGAGAGATCGGAAAAATGTACTAGAGTTAAGGGTTGGTTGAAAAGGAAAAATAAATTTGGGCTCAATTTCATTTTATTTCCTTGCCATTCCGTTAACTTTTTGTCCGCCCCCTTGTACAATAAATACACTGTGTAATTTATGGAAGTGGTCATACGAGTAGGTTGTTTTGATTCTCATAGCAAAAGAAAAATGATGGCTTGGCGATTGTTTTTTTTAACTATCGCATATCGTTTTAAGGTACCATCCATGGGTGTAAACTACATATATCTCCAAGTATAGGACTTCAACATTAAAATTTTATTTCATTAAACTTTATAAATAACATATTGCATCATAAACTTACAAATCTATGACGTCCTTACAAGTATGTCTTAAATGTAAACAATATTTATAAGATCGAGAATTTTTTTGCTTTGTTCATATTAACCTTTTCATGTACCAACAAATATTACAATCATCATATCAATTCAATAGTAATAGGTAGTAATAAAAGTATTATGTTAGTTATTGTGTTTAATTTAAATAAAGCTTAAATTTTTATAACTTTTTCCAACTCTCGAATACCTATAAAGTACTATAGGGGGTTTTTATAGAAATGTTTCGTTTTCGATGTTTAATACGAGTCTACATGTTGTGAAGCGTAAAATGTAACCGTAGCGCACTCCAACTTTAAGTTGTTCGTTCCCTTTTAGAGTGCAATAAAGCCCCGTATAATCAACGTAGCAAGCCACTGCGGTTTGCAGCCACTGCCCGGCTTTGGGCCGTACTGCGCTAGCAAGGCGGGCTTGTTGGCTTGGACGCGGGCTTTGCGGCTCGAACAGCGGGAAAACGGCTTAAGCGCTTCAGCATTTATACCAGGTAACACGCGCTACTTTACAACGAACACAGTCTGTAGTAATAATGGGTACTCTGTCGAGCCTATACCAACTTCTTCGTGAATGTGAAAACGATATAGAATACAAAATCCCTTAAAACAAATACACGCATCTGTGCATTGTTTACTGCTAGATATCTTTTACAAGTTGGCTTTGTTAAATGAATTTTATCCATGGCTTTGATTTTAATTGGATGTTGGAATGGAAAATTTGTACTTATCAGCGGTAAAAAACCAAAGCTCTTTACTGTTTTTCGAAATATTTGCCGCAGAGATATCTGTTGAACAATGTCTCGTTCCATTTTTTTTTCATTGAAACAAATGAGAGCATCCAATTAAAATTACATACGCTTTATTCTTTTTAATAAACCTTTTTTATATTTTGTTCTACCTTAGACTATTATACCTGTATATTATATTGTACCCTGATATTTTTGAAAAAGAGCAACTGTTGAGTTTCTTGCCGGTCTCTTCTCAACAGAAACCGCTTTCCGAACCGGTGGTACCTTACGAACCTATACACATAATCTTTGATGTAAAATTTGACGATTCATAAGAGCGCGCAAGCGTCTATTTGAATAAATATATTTTGATTTTGATTTTTTTTGATTTCTAGGCGGTTTTATTAGCTCTAGTAATTTGATGTCGCATCAAGTAGCACAAGGCAATGACATGATGGAACATTTATCTGAGGAACAGAGAGTTCTATACGCAAATAGAATCAAGACTCTTTGCAAGTATCTAGGAGCAGCTGTGAGCGATACAAGATTTGACTCAATGAAGGACGAAAACATAATAGAGACATTTATGAAAGCTCTATCTGAAGAACATCCAAAAGAACTGTATAAGGTTGAATCGTGGAGGTACATGTTCTACTACAATTTGTTGAAATTGCCTATTCCTGAGTCTGCGCACAAATGGCTTACAGAGAGGTTCATCAATTTTCCTCGGGATGAATAAAGTATTTTTTAAATCAATTCTCTTAGTTATTTTTCATGTAGTGATTAATATATTGTCAAGTCAATAATCTTTAATGGAAAAAATCTAATTGTGAAAATAGTATATGCTTATTTCCTTTCTATACTTTTTAAGTGCCATACAACAGTGCTAAAATTACTACTACAATCTTTCTGATAAGAGTTTTTACAGGAAATTTATTTAAGTATCCATTTATTTATATTTCATTATTTTAACTGCAATCATGTAATATATTATAGATAGCTAATAACGTTACGGAATGCAACACGATTAATTCACTACTTATATTACTGGTTAGCAGTAATGACTAAATGTACCTATCAATTATTTAAAACTTGTGAATATTGCTGTGACTTTTATTTGATATCTATAATTTACTACATGGGACAACTGTTTTTATTTAATTACGTTATTATTAAGAGCATCCAATCTGAGGTTGACAAGGTGATTACAGTTTAATGTCTTTATTTTGACGTTCGGAATAAAACGATTCATAATATCCTTAGCAATTTATTTCCAATAAAACATCAGGTCAAGTGATTCTGACTGTCGTTCGAGGTTGTTGACTCGATCACTGACAATGTCATAAACTAAACGGTGCTGCTATAATTCTGGTAGTTAGTTGATGTTGTTTCTTATCCATTGTAAATACTGGAACACGTTTGTATATAAAGAAGGCACCGCCGTTCCACACGGGGCATCCGCCCTCTTTCCACTAACAATGCCTATGACGTAATACTTCCCGCCATATAACATCATCAGCGGACCGCCCGAGTCACCTTTGCAAGTATCCTCGCCAGTCTTTCCAGCAGCGCACAAATGAGAGGGCGATAAGTATGGGTAGTACCTCTGGCACTCGTCGTGAGGCACGAGGTTAACTACTGTCGATTGCTTGATATCCGACATGTAAGGCCCGTTTCGGCCCCAGCCAGCAACAGGTAGAGGCAAGCCGTAGAACGCTTGGTTGTCCACATTGACTGGCGGTAAGCATATTGGTCGAATGAACTCTGAAACAAGCGATGATAGCTTAGTAGATAGAAATCTAAAGTAGGAATTGGAACGCGAGTTTCACTATTCTTTTTTATTGTTTTTAGAGATTATTGCGGTATGGCCACGCAACAGTGGTCACTGTTGCACGAATGGGCAGGTCCGTCCGGATACCACGACCTCACAGAAGATCAGCGTAAAGTAGAAGTGTTACACTTATGCGTTTCGTGTGGTGAGTAAAGTAGCTGGGGCCGCCTTTATTTAAAGGTGGCAACGCACTGGGCGGCAGTTATTACTTAACATCAGATGAATCCTCAACTCATATGCCACTTTTTCACATAAAAAAAATATATTTAATTTGGCTTGATGTGACTGAGATGTTTTGAAGAATTGTTTGTTTCATTAACTGTAACATCGTTAGGTTACTAATATTGACATAAAATTGATAAAGTTCATACTTCTTTACGTATTAATTTTTAACCGACTTCAAAAAAGGAGGAGGGTTCTCAATTCGACCGTATATATTTTTATTTTTTTTTACTTTTTTGGTCAGAAAGGAGATATCCTAAGGGTAGTACCATGATAAGGAAACCCGGATCTGATCATGGCATCCCAGAGAAATCGAGGACCATCATAGAATGTTATAGGTTTTAGCAAGGTTTTTTCCACATATAATTTTCTAAAATGTTATAAAATATGATTATAATTCATAAAAAATACCCGTGTAAGGTGCATTTCCGTGGAGGCGTATTAATGCTATATCTGCAAAGAGTTTCTTATCATCGTATTCAGGATGCCGAATTATATTCTCGGCAAACATCATGACGTTGTCTATACAGGTCCTCTCGCCGCCAAAGTTGAGCTTGCAATCCCTTGGGAATGTGCGTTTATCATACTCCGCCAAAAAAATTTCAATCCTAAAAAGAAACAATTATTAATTACTGTTTAGAAAATATATGTACTACTAAAATACTCTATAGTTCCCCTTTTTAGCATTCTTTGTTTAGTTACGTGTACGTGTCACGCCTAAGATTTTAGGTGACACTTAAGCGGTGGTGAAAACGAAACTAGCTCTTAATTTTTTTAGGTATATGTATATATATATATTTATATGTATATATACATAATGTATATATCCATAAGAATGTAGGTATGTTATATGGAAAATGAACTCACTCGCTCAGCCGTGCGTCTTTCTCGTGTATACAGTGGGCAGCGGTGAGAATGTACCGCGAACTTAAAATACTACCACCGCAGTTGAACGTGGTTTTGTTCTTTCCGTAGTCGAATGTTATTTTTAGAAGCACGGTCCATGGGAACTGATTGAGTTCAGTTTCAGAGCCACCTGATAAGATAGATCATTTTATTAAGTAGAAATAAAATTAATATGAAAGTCTAAGTCTAAGTCCAGTGGTAGGGCCACGCAGCAGCTAAGGCTGTGGCATAAATCGGCAGGCTCGTCCGGGAAAGTAGCACGGCCTCACAGAAGACTAGCACGAAGTGTTTGTATTATTCTTTCGCGTTTTCTCTAGCAAGTGAGGTGACCGGAGCCCACTTTATTAATGTTTGCAACGCATCTGCAACCCATCAGTTGTTTCATCGGCGGCGGAAATCACTTAACATCAGGTGAACCGCCTGCTCGTTTACCAACCATTAACATAAACGCTCCCGACGCCAACCGCCTCGTTCGCGTATATTTAAATTTAGTGGATGATGAGCAGCAAATAATGAATGCCGTATACACTCTACACGTGGTAAATAGACGAAAAGTTTTTAAGGTCCTGTATAATATTGAAAGTGGGCCCGGTTACCTCACAAATCAGAGGAGACGCAGAAGTATAAAACTCACACTGCAGGCTGGTCGGTTACTTTGTCGTACTACTCAGGACGAGCTTGCACATTCGTGCAACAGTAAAGACTGATGCGTGGGCTGGCATGGCACTACCATAAACATTTTGTAAGATAAAATAAAAATAATAGACTTACCCGCGATACGATTGTCTAATTCTATTTCGACCGTTCCATTCTCAGTTTCTCGTTTTAATCTTATATTATTTTGCAGGAACATTGGATTTCTGAGTCTTTGAGTGACGATATTTTTTAAATCTAAAAAAAAAAGGATTAATGCAAATTGCAGTGGCTTCAACTATAATATCAAAATAAAAGCAAAAATACTTTAAATGTGTTTTCCCACTAACGTTCTATATTCAATGTTATTTGGTTTCATTAACATAATGGCGTAAATTGTATCAGCGTTTAAGATAATTTCTCACATAAAAAAAGAAAAGATAATTTCTTACAAATGCTTACAACGTACCTGTCATCCCTTCTGTACCAGACATATCAAGGCCGCAGCATCCAGTTTCGGGATCGGGTGGCAATGAATTTGGCACCTGGCACTGGTTGCCAAAGTTCATGCCCCCGTTACCGCCAGGAAAATTTGGTGGAAACATGTTTTGAGGAGGACGCGTTGGAAGAGTGTTAAATCCAGGATATACTTGAGTGGGCTGGTATGGAGGGGGTGTTGGCTGTGTTGGGAACATGTTATTCATATTGTTTTTTCCATTAAACCCTGGTTGGTAATAATTACAATTAGGATTCTGTCCCAAGTTACCAAACTGAGTGTTGGAACAAGGTGGATATTGATTGTTCGGCAGTTGCCCCTTAGGAACAAAATATTGCGGTTTATTAGTTCCTGGATAGAAGCCTTTGTTAAGATTTTGATCATTGTATCCTGGTTGGCTAGGCTGCAGATAATTTGGATACTGGCTGCCTAAATCAGGGCTGCCTCCATCAAAATCTATCCTTCGCCCCCCCGGTCTTTGCGTGTAACCATATTTTGGTGTTTCAATAGGGTTAAAATTTTGCCCTCCATATGGGGGAAAAATATTCGCATTCGGTATTCGCTGGGTAGGTCGGTTAACACCGAATTGGTCGAATGGAAGTTTAATTCCTCTTTCTGGCTCGTCATTGACTATACTCCACACGTTGGTCCCTGGGCAACAAACCTGTATACCAATATAAAAGATGTTTACTATAATGCTATTATAAAGATAATAAAAAGTGTTCCAAACAATTTTTTGTAAAAATGTAAAAGATTATATATTTCTATACTTTATAATAACAATGCAAGAAACTGGTATTCGAATACTGGTTTACGTAAGTTGTAAAACATTCGTGATTAAACAGGTTTTGTTTGTTAAAAGCTATTAATTTTTTTTCTGACCTATTTACAAAAGCTGCAAATCTTATTGTATTAATCTGTTTCGGTAACATTATAAGTAAGAAACACCTAATTACATAATTTCCTCTAGCTCCTGGAGTAAATCCATAAAAAGAACTGTCTTCCTGTTGGCAAGAAAATTGACTCAGCCACCTTTGTTGTTGCTCTCTATCCATATTTAAAAATTGTGGACAATTTTCGGATTGTACACATTTTTCGCAAGAGTCTGCAAAAACATTTTTAGTTGAATTATTTGTATCATTTAATATTAAAAGTTTACAAGTTTATGATTTACTTCATCGGTTTAATGGCGTTAGCACTTAACGTTTTTTTTTTCTATGATGAAAATCATGGCCTATTGGGCGAAAATTATTTACAAATTTACAAAATGTCATATGTTATATAAAAATATAAATACAATATTTTACCTTGACGAAATGCACTTGTTATAATAAAGTTAAAAGTAACAGCATAACTAATTATGCCAATACGCATTGTTAATAATTTATTATATATTCACAGACCATAATAAAGCGACTTCATCTACGGAACGATGTTCTTTTGTTACGAAAAGAATAAGACTGAGGATTGAATCTCAACATCAAGCAAATGTATAAACAATTATCGGTCACGAAGGAAATCTGGTTGTGGCTCGCCACTAATTGTGTGACGTAATGGGCTGCTAACACTACTAATAATTTTGATGACATTGTCATTCGTTCCATCACTAATTACAAATACTCAGAACGATTCTCAGATGGTAATGATGGTATCATTGTGTTTACACCCGCGACAACAGTTACTATAAATATTAACATGTATTTCTGTTGTGACTACGGTTACGTTTCCTTAAATACTACAATTACAATTTAAATATTTATTAAGGAAAAATAAATTTGCAGGGATTTATTTAGAAACACGATTGGCGTAATTCGCTCTCCGTTCAAACGGTTTCCGACGCAAACGGCGGATAGAGGGGATTTGCGGGAGAATTTCTGTAATCCTCAAAGTGAATTTCCAAGCTGCAGTCGTAATTGGCCAATCAGTTGCCGCAACGAAAACGGAGTTGACGCACACGCACTGTCCGTGAATCTAGAATTCAATTATCGGGGTAACAGACGCTCTTTACACACGAACAATTAGACGTACACAATCAATCAGAACAAATCTCTCTAATAGATATTGGGATGTTTGTGGAAAGGGTGTCTGTATTTCCATCTGTTTCGTAATTTAAACCATATTTTGTGTCGGAAATAATTAATGCTAGTGTAGAAATTGAAAAATGTACTAATTATGCACAATATTTTTTTTAAAATAGGAGTTTTGTTTGTTTCACGAAAGGAATCTTAACACTAGATACACTAAGTAAATTTTTTTTAGGAAATCCCAGTACTTTTCTATGAATTTTAAATGTGTTTTTTTACATAGTATTTATACTTAAAAAATGGTCTCTCTATAGCTTTGTTCGGGATAATCCCTGAAACGGTTGGAACAATATATACGGAACTTTCAATGGCAGATAGCTAATGTTATAAGAGGGTAACTAAGGCTACTTAATTTAAAAAGAAACGACATACCGCACAAAACAATTAAAGCTTTTGAAGTTATAAATAAAATCCAATACCATTCAGTTTCTCAGGCAAATGTTCGAATTTTTTAGAAGTATCTCACGTCCTTTTGGGTAAATAATTTAGAGCCTGCATGGAAATTAAAAAGGAGTGTTTTGTTGTTAACAGTAAAATATGTTTATTATGTGTCAAAAAAATAAAAAACACTATGTAAATCTAAATCGTACAAGGATACGTTACTAAAATATGAACATGTGAATTCTGTGACCCGAAGAAGAAAGTTTTCATAAACTTTACGCAGACAAAGTCACGGGTGGCAGCTAGTTGAAAAATAAAAGTGAACAATTCATGTTTTATTTTATTCTATTTAATGTATTTTTATTAAATGTATTTTTGAGAATTTCTGAAAGCTGTTTCAGAAATTCTCTCCTCCACTCCTAGCCACTTTACTACGGCTCCTCATATAGAACTGTACGTAGCTGCATAATAATTAGCTATCAAAAAACAATTAATATCAAAGAGTCATTTATAATACATTAAATATCATTCAGAATTAATAACGTGACTATTAGGGTTTTCTGGCTTGTATCATCATTTCATAGTTTATATTTCGCGTATTTTTCAATGATCATTCCTATCAAACTTTCCGTCATAAGATTCCCGTCAATTAACTTCAGGTTGCTTTCGATTTCCCAAGTGGTACTTGCTTCTAATGGCTCCATGTGAAGTGGAAACCACGTAAGGGTTTCGTGTATTGGGAGGAATATAATAAGGGTTGTCGGAACGGGCCATTGTGTTGAGATGCGCTATTGTATCGAAAGGAGGTTACACACACGGTAACCGATGGATTTAACAATGTTACTTCCCAGACTCCCAGTATCATGCTCATTCGATTTCGGTTTAGTGCTTTGATAAAAAAAACAGAATGCGTTTCCATTATTCAATGTTCAATTGCAATTACTTCATCCGATGAATTACGAGCCGTAACGATGCCCCAGTTTTTGAGCGGTTTTGATTGCGTTGAGAGTTTCAGCCTTTGCTTCAGTGGCTATTCAATTTTATAGTAGCTTTGTCTGACTGAAATTTTTTATGCTTATAGTGTTGTTAATAATTTGTCAATTGAACACTGCTGTAATATAATAGTTCATTTTAGTGTTAGTCCCTACACTTAAGTTGAAACTTAAAGTTATATAGATAAATTCGAAAGTTCGATGACTCCGTGACGCAGTTTCCAAGGTATTGCCTTCGGCGGAGGGGGACGCGGGTTCGATTCCCATTCGAGATAATTACTGGGGATCGAATTACTACGATCGAATTATCGGGGATCGAACTCACGTTGCTCCAGTATATTGAATTATAGGCGAGCGCCCGGACTCTGAGCTATCACGGCTTGGGCTATCCTAAATTAAAGGCACAATTAAAAAAAAAGTTGTCGAAAAATGGCACTGGCGAAACAACAATTTAACTTAACTTGGTTACTTGGTTAGTACATTTAAAATTTGCTAATCCCGCTATGCACGTGTTATATCTAGTCTTTAAAAATAGAAAATTTTTATTTTACACCAGAATATCTCGCAGATGGATGAATGTTTTTCTATTTAGTTAACTTATATATCTTTATCAATTATTGACTATGTGTTATTCTGATGTAGAATCTATATTATTGTAAAGTTTCATTAAAACCTACTCAGTAGTTTTTGCGTGAAAGAGTAACAAACATCCACCCGTACATACAAACTTTCGCGTTTATAATATTAGTAAGGGTTTAAACGTTACATTTTGGTTTAGTCTTTTCGGCGGCCGGAAAGTACATTAAAAATATCTCAGGCGTTTAAAAATATACGCAAAACACAATTCATACATTTATGGAAAACGAAATTCATATGCACCCAATGAAATGTCAAAGTTACTTCCAATTTGTCTTATTTATAAGTAGACGACGAGGCGTTTCGTTAATGTAATGAAATTATTATTTATGTAGGATTAATTATTTAATAGTTGAGTAAAAGATGATTTTTGAACGAAGTATTGTGTGAATGAGAAGGATGGATGACGTAAAAGGGATTGAGGGACTTTTCGCAACGACGCCACGAACGAGTAACGTGTATCTGTCTTAAAATGTATTAATTTAAATAAAGATGAAAATAGTAACAATAAACTCAAAATAAAGATTTTATTTATCCTACGCCTACAAAATTCTCGTCCGGGATAACGGGCTTAAAGTGATTTTTGGGTATTTTAATAACGAGAGAAAGTGATCACGTACGCCAGCCGCCATTACGTGTTACTAAGGAAGCGTATTAATTGTCACTTTAAAATAACGACGATAATATTTACGACGGTTAAAGATGATGGAGAGCAATAACGACGATGGTAAATATAATCCATTCTTCCTGATGGATTCCCTACCTAAGTTTACGGGGGATGATATGACGTATTCTTCTGCAAAATGGACGCAGGACATTGAAGACAACGCAGATATTTTCGGATGGAACCAACTACAACGGCTAATTATCGCGCGGAGGTGCTTGGCTGGTACTGCACAATTATGGCTGAAGACGGAAAAAGCATTTAAAACTTTGATGAAGTTAGAACGGCTCTGATGAAGGAGTTTCCTGATACTATAAATTCCAAACAAATGCATGAAATGATGAGTAATCGGAAAAAGCAGGCTAATGAAACGGTTTATCAATACATGCTTGTCATGAAAGAATTGGGAAAAAGGGCTAAGTTTGCAGACTACGTCACCATACAGTATATAGTCGATGGCATAAACGACTACGAATCAAACAAATTATTATTCTATGGTGTTACATCCTATTCAGTGCTCAAGGAGAAAATAGCCTTGTATGAAAGTTACAAACAGAAAACCAAGAAGAGTACTATAAGCAAAAGAGAAGTAACAGTAATGAAGCCGATGGCACAACGGGAAACTGGAGGACAGACATTCCAACATTGTTACAAGTGCGGTGAGAAAGGGCATCTGTCGAGTTCCTGACAAAGAGGTGTAAAATGTTTTAGGTGTAATGAGTTCGGTCACATAGGCGCAGAATGTAAGAAAACGGAACCTGTAATAACACAAATGCATGCAAAGCGGGATCGACGATCGATATTCATTCAATATCCCACGCTGACATCAGAGGGCGCTAGTTCCGCTAACGTGGACGTGAATGAAGAAGGTGAACGTGAACGAAATGTAATGAGTTGCGATCCGAAGGAAAGAGCGAGTGCCTGCATATCAAATGTTTGTGACAGTAAGGGGATTCAGTGTCAACTTCAAAAATGTCAGTCTGTATTTAATGTAGATAAAGGTGATGCGATAGTTAATAGAAGCATAAAAAATGTAAAAATAGGTAATTTCGTGACGAACTGTTTAATTGATACGGGTAGTGATTTAAACTTAAAACTTTAAATAAACTTTAAATTTTCTTTTCAGAATGTTGCTTACCGGGTTGGGTTGTTCACAAGTATTTTCAATCGGTAAATTCGACACGGAATTAATTATCGACGATCACCATTACAATATTAATTTTTATATTGTACCAACTAATGTAATGCCACATGATGTAATATTAGGTCAACCATTCTTAGTAAATACTGTTACGGTTATAGACAAAGGTGCCGTTGAAATTAGGCCTCCATGTTACGATAGTTTATATCAAAATGCTATATGTCTTTTTTCCAGTAATGATGACCAATGTAGTGCGGTAAAAGATATTATAAATGATTACGTACCTTTGAAGACCAAAGATGCACCCATTAGGCTGAAAATTGTTCTAAAAGATGATATTCCAGTTACACAACGGCCTAGAAGATTAGCTTTAACCGAAGAACTATTAGTGAAGCAGCAAGTTGATGATTGGTTGAAGATGGGCATCATTCGTCCTAGTTATTCTGAGTATGCAAGTCCCTTAGTATTGACAAAGA